AGGTCCAACATACAGCTTTGTGTGGCATTGTGGCCCTCGTCAGCGCAAATACTGGTGGGTGAGGATGCAACAGGTTCCGGTGACTTTTTGGTAAGCTGTCTTTGCATTCTTGTACGAGCAGCTTTAAGTTTTAACGTATGGAATTTTTTGGTAGATGAGAGGAGTCCGGGCTGTTAACAGACGCGCGGCATCTTTTTCATCCCGGTATTGCATTACTATCGTGGAGCACATGGATGGTTTCGACTTCCGGAGTCACCGAGCTTTGCATATGGAGTCCCGCATGCCACATGCATTCAGGATGGCAGTTTTGGCATGCTCAAGTGGGATTCGATCGGATGCATTGAATATTAATACTTGATGCCGGCATTCGATACGTTGACTAATCTCAGTAGCTATGGTGTCAATAAGAAGTGACGCTTTTTCTAAGTTTGCTTGGTTGCATGTTGCGTCAGGATTCAGAAGGCATGCAATCGATTGTATTGTTCGGAGGGAGGACATTTCGTTCTCCATTTGGCGCACACGTGTTTTGAGATTTTCTAGGTCATTTAGGACTTCAGAATCTACTGGCAATGGTGAGAGAGTGTTGCCGGGTTGAGGAGGCAAGTATATGACAGCCAGAAGCACAGAAATCTCGTGTGGGAGCAACTAGATATAATGATGATTATAAGTTGCCGCAAAAGATGTTAGCCTCGCTTTGCGTGTCAGCAGAGAGAAAGAACTCGTCCCAGGTCTTATGGCGCAATGGGATTGCAAAAGTTTCAAGGATGCCTGGGGAAAGAATGAAAGAATTTAAGGGAGGAAGAATAGCTGAAGGTAGAGTACTTGTCCAGCTGCAAGTTACAATACAATGGTCGCTGTCAGGAAGCTGCGGACAAGGCTATTATCCCTCAACAAACACTTCTTCAAATAACTGGGGCGCTTTTCATCCATATGAAGCTACAAGTTGGGTTTCCCCGGTCTAATTTTCAAGGTAGTGGCCCCTGATATTGGAGCTATCCGTTCATCCACATACGTGATCGTGCAACCCGCCGATACATACTAGACCACGTGATCTATCTTTCTTACGCTCACAAATCACGACACACAAGGGTGACATATCTGACATCGACTGTCTACCATCTGATACTTGTAGCAACAGGCCATGTGCTGACATCAACGTACACACAAACGCAGCTGCATATAGGAATACCGAACGCGGTCAACACCCACAGGCTTGCGCGCACAGAAAGGAAGAATTTAACCAACCTCCACACGTCCGCGGACAATAACGGAATACGTGTAGCAGATATGCTGGGGAGAAAACAATTTCTCATTGTCCGGACTTTGACCAAGGATCTTTCACAAACGATAGGTTCCCTTGTTTACTTGCTCCACATTTCGCATATCATTTATTTTTATACGTGTTGCAACTCACCACCGTTTACCATAGCAAAAGCTTTTATCAGTGCATATACCTCCCGAATTAAGGCAGGGCTACCATAACTTGTGCACTAATAATAGCTGTCGTTCATCAAGTCAACAGACTGCCTACGCCCTGGGGACGATGATTCACCTGTACATTTTACTTTCGTAGAAATCCTGTTTAAATGACCTCAGTGTGATCCTCGGCACCGAGGTAATTTATTGATATTCTTTCTCTCCTTCAGAGTCGGCCGTTCCGAAAATTACCCATTCGGTGGCCGATATGCATAGGGTTGTTTTGGAGAATCCAGATGTTGCTCCTTGCCCCAGTGGGCCCCTAGGATAACAACTGCCGCCACAGTTGGGACGCCACTCACAAAACATTTTTGCGGGATGAACTTCCGCAAGGCGCACTCGTTTTCTTGACGGCAAATCATCCGGGACTAAAGCCATTTTAATAAGAATCGACTCAATAACTTAAACAAATCCGACTTTCATCCCCCTCAAGCAAAAACAGCACGATGAAGTTGACTTTCATGATATCCCTAATGTCGATGCCATTTACCGATGATACTTGTACCCACGCTGCTTGCAGTTTTATCGCAAACTGCTTTGATGCGTCGGTCGTTAGTTGGGTAATGTCTAAGCCGTGACCCACCAAGGCATGAGTTAGCACCGTGCCTCTCGGTGCAACCGGCTAAACCGCAACAAATCCAAAGCAACTCCGAGGGCCCCAACTAACGCTGAGCTGACGTTGGCAAATTTCACAGCATACGTCTCGATCCGCTGTGTCGTGAAGCAGACGGTGAGGCCGTTGGTTCCGGTTTTATACGTCGCTACGTGTGGGGTCGTGACACCCTAAGGCTAGATCCTAAGCATTCGGAGCATAACTTGAGGTCTTTCAGTGTATTCAGTTTCCAGACCTGATGTGGGGGCAGCAGACACTTCACAGTTTGGTGGTTTATGAGTCCGTGAACACTGAGGTCAAGCAATACCTGTTTTCTAAGCCCCAGCCTTGACGCAGGCTTTCCAAAATAGTGCTCATTCTGAGCACTAGGTTCGGCAACACTAAGGCAGCGAATCGAAGCCTCAGAGATAGCTTCCGTCAAGGACGCATACTGCGTGTTATCACCCCAGCTCCAAACCAGAACGCGGTGAATATCTGCCGCTTCAGCCCAATTTGTCACAAATACCGAGAGAGAGCTTACACTATACGCTTGAACTTCGTTAGGCAATTCAAGTCCGACGTATAATGCATCTGTTTAAGTATCAGGTCACAGTTAATTATTTTCCTGATCAAACTTCGGGAGACAGCAACACCTATTGGAGCAGGTCGTTCATGAATTACAGTGCCACATCGCATGGCCTGCCGAAATGTGTCCTGAGGAAATCCAAAGCCCTTTTATAGCCTGCTCTACCAGTGCTCGACGAACTTTTTCGCCTCGCAAAAGCAATATTAGGTGTATCAACTTGCTGATATCGTGAGAGGGTGCGCCATTTACACTCAGGTGAAGCGCTTTCACTATCCGCCGAAATTTCATCAGAATTCCGGAAAACTAATCAATCATATTTTAGGAGATTGGCGGTTGGACCAGATGTGCATTAGTCGACACACCACCATTTGTTTATCGAGCCATGGTTCAAATTTATACAGCGACGTCTTTTCAAGACAAATTAGTAGAAAGTTTTGAACGTTTTGGACGACCTGGTTAGCTGACATCCACTCCAACTGGCCCATGATTTACAACTCCGTGATCACCAGGCGGACCAAGAAAACCTACAATCCTATATCAGTTTCGTTTCAGCTTGTTTCCTCGACCAGGCTGAAATGAATACCGCTGCCCAATGAATTGCATACCCAAACCGAATCATCACAAATGTGATGTCCGTTACGGTGCTGTCCAAAAACTGAAGCATGTCAGGCCAATGATGGCACGGCACCGCCATACTCAGTTTGATGGCACACCCGCAACTGTTCCATTCCTCCTCCCAACCAAGCCATCTTACCTACTCGTTTCATTGACCCCAACCTGTTGGACTAATCGCTCCAATTCAACAACCTCTGTCTCCATCCAACCTAAACCCTGCACCTTACTTCCCTACAGCAGTGCAAACAGTGAGTCTGCTTGTTGTCAGATTGCACCATATTTTTAAGACTAAACTTGCTATAGAATACTTCGACGTATTCAGGAGAGCCCACTTGAGTGACGCGCAAAATCACAAGCCAGAAATTGTGGATTCTTGAGATTTATCAAAAGATGCGGTACTACATGTATAAAATACGTAATAAAAGGGGTACAAACCTCAAATTATGGGGGTCTCCGTCTAAACTGTTGCACGAAGTGGTGCAAGTCCAAAGAAAGCCCGGAGAAGATAGCAAATCGATCTTAGTTTGCGACGCACACCTGGGTACAACACGTAGTAACGCAAATAGGTCAAAAAGCCCGCGTAAAGAATGGCCGACCAAACTGGTTCGACAAACAAAGGGTTAAAGTTCGTGAGGAGTTAAAAAATGTAAATAGAGTCCATGAGATAGACGTAGCAGACAGCAGCAGATAAG